TAAGATACGATACGAATGATACGATTCTGTTGTTGTTGTTATACTAATTTTTATTTGTCCTTTATCCAAGGCCGCTGAAATAGAAAACACTAAACAGTGGGAAAAGGTATATTAAAAAATAAAAATAAAACAATTTTTTTATTTAAAGAAACCAACGGGAAAAGAATAAAATATGCAATATGCTCATAACCATAACGAACGAAACTTCACAACACGAGATAAGTAATACATTAAACAACAAATATTTTCCTTACACAGTATAAAGGTAAAACTTTATGTTTGGCTTTAAAAAAACCTGCTAAAGAGGAACCAAACCGATTCGTAGTGATAAAAAATAGTAATAAAATATAAAATACATAAAAAATTAAATCACTTCTAACAGTCACTGTCTTTAGATCACTTTGTCAAGGTGCGTATTCATTATCCGAACGAACGAACGAACGAACGAAAATGCGGTATATTTAGACGGGGACCGAACGCATGCGGCCGTTCGTTCGTTCGTTCGCTCGACCCTCCGTTTCGAGTCGGTACATCAAAGGCGTTCGCCAACAAATGCCTCCGGTCTTCTCGTGCGGTCCTATCGTGCGGTCCCCGTCCATACCACTAGCGAACATTCGTTCGTTCGTTCGTTCGGATAATGAATACGCACCTTCAGATATCTAGCCTATGAGACGTACGTCGTGACTCGTGACTGTGAACTGAGTCACGACCGGCGCCATCGGCAGCTGCGTTCGCGACACGCGACGTCCCGCTCTGTGAAGTATTTTCTCGTTACCAGAGAAATCACAACTAACTGTAATCGTCACGCTTTAGCAAGTCACCGTTTATTTTCAAATCAGTCACAGGCCATGACTGTGATTATAGAATATCAGTGACAAAGTCACAGTTATTTCACTCATCACTATTACATACCCCTCAAATAATAAAACAATATAATACTGATACGGGGGTCATGGACTTGGCAGATATGTTTATAGTCCTATATAAGATCCCTTCTAAGATAATGTGTTAATAATAAGTTACATATTAGAACGTGGATCATTGAGCAATCCCTACGAACAATTACGAGTTAGGCAGAGATGTGTCTTAGCGCCTCTTCTACTCCAACATATTCATGGCAGCGCTCTCTATTATAGTGAACAGTAAACTGCAGGAAAGAGGAATAGACATGATATGCAGATATGTTGGCAGTTTGCGCAACATAAAAAGACTCAGGGCAAAAATACGTATAAAATTCATCACAGAACTTCATTACGCTGATGATCTAGTTGAAAAAGCGTTGCAGCAATAAGAAATGCCGAACACATATACCTGGGTATACGAGGCTTTGGGCCTTAAGCTGAGCGTCGACAAAACTAAAATCATATACACTCCCCTCGATAGGCACTCCCCCCAAATCATAACAATGCTATTAAAATCGCAGAACTATGTAGAATATGTAGCGGAATTCGATTATAATTTAATATCAACTCTGAAATTCAGCACAGAATTGGCAACGCCTCAAAAGCATTCTGGAAATTAAAAGACAGAGTCTTCTACAATCATGACTGGGACACAAAACCGAAACTTGCAGTGTACCGAGCAATAATAATCCCCAGCATTAAACAAGTTACAACAGAAATATCTTAGACAACTGTTAAGAATCAAATGGTACCACTATGTCTCAAACGTATCGGTCCATGAAAAAGCTAGCTGCGAGAACGCTCACGAAGTCATAAAGTTTTGTTTACAGTGAGTTTGTAGACGGTAAGAGGAAACCAGGTGGACAACAAAGGTACAAGGATATTTTCCATGAAAACTTAAAGAGCATAAGAAAAATGCAGAATAAAACAATAAATGATAATGCAGAATCAATTGGAAGAAGCAGCGCACAATATAGAAGGTAATGGAGAAGAATTGTGAACTCAGTTAACTACGACAACTAAAAAGTAAAGAAGCAACAAAGTAATGAGATTTTTAAATGTCCGGAGTGCGAAAGAAAGATAAAATCACGTACCGGCTTTTCAGTCACAGAAAAGCTAATGAAAGAAAACGCCTTGTGTTGCAATCTTCTGATGCGTGTCGAATACTCATCAGCGTGTAATGGTAGTATAAGTCAAGGAGATGGTACTTCGGAATATTCAGTCAATTAATCGATATTGGTACGAACAAGCCTGGTTACAGAAGAAATATGGAATTTTTAGGAAACCTAAAATACGATAAATTCAAAATATTTTATTAAGAATAAATTAGCTTATAAAATCTAAAAATATGACAAAGACTAGAAAATCCGATTTTACACAAGAGCAGCGTTCTGAGAAAATTAGAGTTCCCTCTCAGTGCTAGGCCTTCCGATGATATCAGGTATGACCACCTAGGACAATGTCCAACATTTGTAGATAGACAGGTGTAAATTATGCACAACTGGCTAAACAGTGGTATTTCGTACATTTAATATTACGATTACGTTTTCTTCCAGAAAGTAAGCCGTGATATAATTGTTTTTCTGTTTATCATATAAAACCTATTTCATAGGCCCGTTTTCATCGGTTATTAAATATTTTCGTAAAATCATCTGCTGATGCAATTAGTAAAGTTAATGATGAAATAATGTTTATATTTCTCTCAGATTCTTCCTCCTATATGATCAAGGCATCCCAATTTGATTCATGTTACATGAATGAATAAGTACTGTAATAATGCTGAATAAGTACGATCTACGTTTCAAAATGTAAACAAATTGATTTCGCCAAGAAAGAATTTATTAAGACGTCTGCTGACGTTGTGGAAATAGGCAAAAAAAATATTAAAAATATTTGCCCCTGAAAGAATTAAGATGGAAATTAAAAAACACTCAGGCTTGATTTCCTCAAATTCGGGGGAAGCAAATTGAAGATGTTTATTGTTTAACATAATTCTCGCCATATAGAGTAATTATGCGCAAAGATGGGAAAAAAGGGCTTTTTCTTGTAAAATTTGTAATTAATCTAGACGGCTCGCTTTGGCTTAATAAACATGCTGTTAAGATGCCGGCTGCGTCAACCAAGATAGTATGACGTACGACAGCAGACGATGGAAAGTGAATGATATGTTATTATATTACAAAAAGAGTATTTCTGTTATAAACTCTACCTGGACATGTAGAGTTTATAACAGAACGTACAAATCTGCATCAAGCAGATTTCAGTGGTCGCGCACCCAGTTTGTTTTGTAGTTTTTAGATGTGTTTACAAGTAAATTCTATTGTATATTATATTATTATTTGCAAAATAAACTTATATTATTATTATGTGAGAAATCCACACTTCTTGTTGAGGCCATAAAGTAATAAATGTAAAGGTTGAAACTATGGCGGCCATTTTGTAAAACAAATGCAATCTGCACAAGTGAACTAAATTTTCGAAGCTACTTGACAGCAGAAAGATATCTTCAAGAAAAAAGTTCATGGCGTTGGGAAATATCTAGTAAGTTGGACACCAGTTAAAACACCTATTAAAATATAATGTATAATTTTGAATTATAAAAAGTTTTTATAGTTTTTTTTTATTTGAGGGAACGAGGAGGGAGACTGGTGTTATGGAGCGCCTCGCATTGGAGCAATAAAAAGTTGGCAGCCTTACTCCAACACCGAGTGAAAAATGCTACTTAAAGACACTGTTGAGAACCACAGCTGCCACTAATGTGATGGTTAAAGCTCCGCTGCCACCAATGTTGAGAACCACCGTTGTCACCAATGTGATGGTTCTAAGTTAAACCTCCGCCGCCATCAATGTTGAGAACCACAGTTGTCACTAATGTGATGGTTCTAAGTTAAACCTTTGCTGTCACCAATGTTGAGAACCACCGTTGTCACCAATGTGATGGTTCTAAGTTGATTTATACCACAAATGCGATGAACCGCCATCACCAATGTGATGGTTCTAAGTTAAACCTCCGCTGCCACCAATGCTGAGAACCACCGTTGTCACTAATGGAATGGTTCTAAGTTAAACCTCCGCTGTCACCAATGTTGAGAACCACCGTTGTCGCCACTGTGATGGTTCTAATTTGATTTATACCACAAATGCGATGAACCGCCATCACCAATGTGATGGTTCTAAGTTAAACCTCCGCTGCCACCAATGCTGAGAACCACCGTTGTCACTAATGGAATGGTTCTAAGTTAAACCTCCGCTGCCACGAATGTTGAGAACCACCGTTGTCGCCACTGTGATGGTTCTAATTTGATTTATACCACAAATGCGATGAACCGCCGTCACCAATGTGATGGTTCCAAGTTAAACCTCCGCTGCCACCAATGTTGAAAACCACCGTTGTCACCAATGTGATGGTTCTAAGTTGATTTATACCATAAATGCGATGAACCGCTGACTATAACATTGATAACCACAGTTAGGTATTGCTAATGTGATGAACCGCTGTTGTTACTAATGTTGTTAATTTATTGGGATATTATATTTGTTTATGTAAATAAATAAAAATACTTTTATAAATAAATTACTTATATTATAGCTTTATGTTTTTATAAGTTAATATAAAACTTTATTTAAATATAATTCAACAGGTCTAAATTTAACATTTTTTATTAACGAATAATAGGGGAGCGCCGGGAGGGTTTGGAAGGGGGAGACATTGGACACATTCAAAACTGCCGCCTAATTGGGAAGCAATTCAAAACAAATACTTAACCGGAAGCGCAATTGAATATCCTTAGTGCTTGTCTAGAAGCGAAGCAGGTTAGTCGCTCCGTTTCGACGCATCACCATTTTCACATTTTTCCACGTGTTCGTTCTAATATTTGATAGGTTTAAACTGTGCCTTTTAACAAACTGTTTTGTGTTTTTTGAATTGCGGGTTTAATTGCAGTATTAGGTAAGCTTTACAAGTAAAAGTTTGTTGTTATTTTTAAGATATATAAACATGTTTCAATATTTTTTTAACGTTATTAGTTGAACCATGTTGTGGGAGGGTTTGGACACCTGTCCAAACCGTCCCGCAAGTATAAAATTGTTACAGAAAAAATGCCTTCCAAGTACAAAAGGTTGACAGACAGGACCTTTTGTTCAGCAGACATGAAAGTCGCAACAGAAGATGTTTTGTCTGGAAAGTATTCCTATAGGAAAAGCGCAGAAGAGCATAATGTGAAAAAATCAACTCTGGCATTATATGTCAAAAAAGCAAAGGACGTTGGAATTGAAAATGTTTCATTTTCTCCACATTTCGTTACATGTCAAGTTTTATCTAATGAATTAGAAGCGTCACTTGCCTGTTATCTTAAAACTTGCTCGAACATGTACCATGGTTTAACTCCAAAGGCAACGCGCAGATTAGCATATGAGTTTGCGGAAAAAAATCACGTTAAAGTTCCAGACTCTTGGAAAGCAAATAAATTAGCTGGAAAGGATTGGTTCACGGGTTTTTTAAATCGACAACCCCATTTGTCTATAAGAACTCCGGAAAACACAAGTTTAGCGAGAATTTCCAGTTTTAACAAATCTACGGTTGGGGCATTTCAAGCTAAGTTAGAGGAGGTCCTGAAGAGGCACGAATTTACTAGATCAGACATATTTAATTTGGACGAGACGGGTGTGACCACAGTTCAAAAAACGCAAAAAGTGGTTGCGACGAAAGGCCAGCATCAAGTGGGTAAGGTCACTTCACGTGAAAGAGGACAGCTGGTGACGCAAGTAGGCATCATTGGAGCGAATGGAATAGCACTTCCTCCAGTGTCGGTGTTTCCAAGGAAAAAGTTTGACAAACATCGAATGTTAAGTGGTATTCCTGACGAGTATGGCGCAACCGGCTTAGTTCATTCATCTGGATGGACGACCTCGGATAATTTTTTACGTGTTTTAGAACACTTCGTAGCTCATGTTCGATGTTCTAAAGAACGTCAAGTCATCCTCATAATGGACAATCACGAATCCCATTTATCTGTTCCTGCAATTGATTACTGCAAAGAAAATGGTATTACGATCCTAACTCTGCCACCCCACACATCTAACAAATTGCAACCTTTAGATCGGACTATTTTCGGCCCATTTAAAAGATATTTTAACCAAGGAGCAGATGACTGGATGCTCTCTCATCCAGGACAGACTTTGTCGATATATGACCTGGCAGCAATATGCATGATAGCTTGGGATCGATCTGCAACTCCCTCAAACATAAAATCTGGATTCCGTTGCACTGGAATTTGGCCATTTGATAAAAATATTTTCAGCGAAGAAGATTTCCTTTGCTCGTTTGTTACAGACAGAATAGCACCTCCAACAGAAAATAAGGTTTTAGAAAAAAATGTAGATGCATCATTACCATCCACCTCTTCTGCACAGCCATTACCGAAGCCCTAAACTCGAGCTGAAATCGACCATCATAAACAAAATTTTGTATCGCCATCCAAAATAAGACCATATCCAAAAGCTTCAGAACGAAAAGCATCTAGAAAAGGTCCTCCTAAAAGAAAATCCATAGTGGCGACCGATACTCCAGAACGCGATGAAATTGCACAGAAGAAATTAAAGAAAAATAGATCAGAAATTGATCTGAAGAATATAAAGAAAGCAAAGAAAAAAGTTATGAGCGACTCTTCTTCCGATGAGGAAGAAGTCATTTACAAAGATTCGTCCTCAGACCTGGATTTGGAACAGGATGATGATGAGGATGAGGACCTTACAAAACTTGAAGTCCAGAGTTTCATAGTTAGTAAAGTATTTGGAAAAAAATCAGTTAGACATTATGCCGCTAAAATAGAAGAAGTTGTCCTGGATGGCTACAACGTAAAACTTTTGAAAAAGCAAGTTGCTTCCAACCGTTTTAGATTTAGTGAGGAGCCTCCAGCATTTGTGTCATACGAAGAAGTGATATTGAAACTACCGAATCCTTTGACAGACCGATCTGCTCGATATGCAGATATGATTTATTTCAATATCGATCTTACCGAGTACAGTTTATGCTGATTTACCGTTTTGTAGATATTAGTTTTGCTCGTTTTTGCTTTAAAAATAATGTTGTTCATCAAATAAATGTATCTTAAAAACAGATGGTTTCTTGGGCATGTCGGTCACGTCTAACGATACACTAACGGGGTAACAACGTAAGTTACGTCCAGCAGTGTCGAAACGAATAGCAAAATTTTCCTGCTGTCGCTAACCATGCTTATGTATTTTTTCGTCCAGACCCTCCCGGTTATGAGGGAGGGTTTGGACATATTACATATGTACGTATATGTGTCTGTCACTCATGACATTGTAATACTTTTTGAATGAAATAAAGGAATATGTATGTAAGATGTATAAGTCAATCGATCTGACACCAAAAATTTAGTTACTTCTCACTTATGTCAATGTCATAATTATTTATTTAAATATTGTCCAAACCCTCCCGGCGCTCGCCTAACGGTGTAGAAATGTCTACATTGCCAAAACTACATAGCCAAAAGAATCATTATTTGCAAATTTACTGGTAGTCTATATTGACACAGTAAATAAAGAGGTAGATAGACAACCAGTAAAAAAATAAAAGATATATATTACCAAACAACAACAATGCCAGTATCAGAAGAAGACAACACCTTCTAGTTCTGAAAGGTGACCTGAAAAACTCAATAAGATGCCAGTATCCACAATGTAATAAGAAAACAAAGTTTTTATGCGAAAAATATAATACATTTTTCTGTATAACTTATGATCATAACTGTTTTTTTTTATAAAATTCATAAAAAACCAAAATGAATGTATTTAATCCGCATGTCCAATAAAATGGACTTTTCAAAAAACCAATATAAATAAAAAATTAAAAAATAATAATTGCATATATTTGTTTTGGTATCAATTTGAAGTCAGAGACCAGCAAAAACGTTTTCAATTTATTTAGTTTTTGAGTTCGGGTCTCAGGAGGATGTAGAATGTAGAATTTTTAGGAGGGGAGTTAATCACCGCGACCTTATAGATCTATTGCGTGTTCCCCTTTCTTGAGTTATAACGAGTTATAACTCATCATACAGTCTCAGGGCTTTAACAAAGGCTAGTATCTGAGACGGCTCCACAGAGGCCAGCTCTCCATCCTCGACATCAGCCGTACCAAAGTTCATGGCACGAATGGTCGTCGTCTCGGCGCACTCAGTGATAAGGTGTTCTGGTGATTCCCCATTTTCCCTACAGAATCTGCATTCGTCGTTGTTTCTCAGCTTCACCCTACTGAGGTGTTCGTTGAGGAGACTAGTGATGTTGGTAGCGAATATTTCCATTCGAATTTTGCAGGAAATTTCAGAAATTTCCGAAATATTCGCTTTTCTCAAACTCGCGAATATTCGCAAAAATCCGAATTTTGCAAGAAATTTTTTTTCAAAATTCAAGACATTGAGCAAAAATTTAACGAAAGTGTATCAAGCATGCCGATTCTTAAGTCAGAAGAAAAATAATGCTTCTCCGCCTTACAAAATAAAAAACCTATGGCCCTTGAACTAATGCATTTTGCCGCGAATCTCTTGGACCCCTGTTTCCTGGGAGAGCACCTTAACAATGAAGAACACAGCCGCTATGGAATTTATCAACAATATCACCAACAATCATCCTCAGTTTGTCAATAATAAGCCATTTTTACAGATGTAACAGATTATGGCGCCAAATCGGGTTTATGGGCTCTCGACTACGTTTGGATGTCAGTTAAAAATGTAGACTGTCTAAGTTGGTGGCAAGCAATGTGTAAAAATACTCAGTTGAAATATTTAGCTGTTGCTCTGCTGTCTTTACCAACGTCATCTGCAGCCACAGAGAGAAATTTCAGTACTTACAGTTTTATCCATACTAAAAAAAGGAATCGCTTAACTGCACAAAGAGCCGGTAAAATAATGTTCGTAGCTCATAACAATAAATTATTACTACAAAAAATTCCTACAGAACCACTAGAACTCGTGGAGGTAGAGGTCCATCCTTCAGAATCAGAACCAGATGATACATCAAATATATCTGATTTGGAAATAGAAACTGACGAAGACAGTACTACTACTACTACTATAATACCCTATGAAGATGGGACCAGCTCGGCGCCTGATATTCCGGAATAGAATAATTCAGTTATTCGTGTTTTACGTTTTTTAAATTTATATTTCGTGTTTTTTGTTTTTTTTTATATTCATAGTCATAGTTCGTGGTTTATGCACAAAATACAAATGTTACCAAATGATTTTTGTTATGGGTTATGTTTATGACTTTTATGGGTTATGTCAGGGGCGGGAAAGTCAAATAGCAAAAGCGGTTCCACCGTTTCCAAGGAAATCTCAAATAAAATAGTTCCAGCCCTAGCCACTAGGTGGTAGTGCAATTAATTTTTAGGTTAAAAAGTTGCTACTAGTTATTGCCAGATGGCGGTAAATCAGAATTTTTTTGTAGTTTCCATAGTTTCCAACGGCCATTGTCATATTATTGTCAAATTCTCAAAAAATATTGTCGTTGTCATAGCGCCAATCATAATATTATCAAATAAATGATTATCAAAACGTTTTTCAAACTATAATTTGTTCTATGAATTTGTTATATGTGTTTTAATTAGACAATTCCTTTTGTTTCTGGCCCTAAAAATATAATGTAAGTCTGTTATTTTTGCCATCATTTAAGTACCTATTTATACTTACTCCATTTACAAAACTTTGGGCGTATTACATCGGTCTTGTTTTATTATAATAAACGATGTTTAAATATTTGACTTATAAATAAGAACTTTAAATAATAAATAATATTTCACATTTTGGCTTTAATTTTATTTAATAATTGTATATTAATAATTGTAATATTATACTGTTAAATCTTATTTTTTACACATCACAGCGATACTTGTTATTAGTATTGTTGAATTTGTGTAAAAAATAATATTTAATAATCAAATTTAATTATTTTAGAGTAAAATTATTTAGTAAATACGCTCATTTAAAAAGCCCGCGCTTCGATCCATTTAAAACAAGCCCTACTCAATAGATGGCGCCACTTCTGTAGGACCATTTTTCAGTATGGCAGAGTCCATTCTTTTTCTAGCTAGGTATATTCTTTGGGTTATGTATTGTTTATTAATAATATAATAATATAATGGTAATACTATGTTTATTGTTTTTTTTCTCCACTTACATGTTGGTATCAAATGTCTATCTAATTTATTCCTTTATTGTATCGACAAAAAATATGTAAAATTGTAAAATTTTCTAATATTTCATAAATTTCCGAGAGTTTCAGAAATTTTCTGCAACAATCAAAAATTTCTAAAATATTAACATCACTAGAGGAGACAGTGTCCTGTTAGAAACCCCGTGACAATCCGAAGATTGTTTTTACTTAAATCGAGGAAAACCTTTGATTTTTCTCGGTCGTAAGTTCTGAGGAACTTTTTCAGGAGAATATAACTATATTTAACTATAATTCAACAAGTCCAAATTTAACATTTTTTATTCGTTTCTACATTGCCAAAACTACATAGTCAAAAAAAGCTTTATTTTCAAATTTACTGATAGTCTATATTGACACAGTATATAAAGAGGTAGATAGACAACCAGTAAAATATAAAAGATATGGCATTATATTTTGGAGAAAAAAAATGTCTATACCTATGTGGCGGATTCAATTTTGAAGAAATTCTCCCGATATCGAAGTATATACAGGGTGTTTCAAACAACATGGACCACCTCTCGTGGGAAGATTCCTCACCCAAAAATAAGATTTATTTTTCATTTCAACATGGGTCCGATTCTGCTTTGTTTCGTAGCTACAGGGCGCCGGGCGTTAAAATATTTCACTATTTTTTTTTATTTTAAAAATTTTTTCGATTTATTATAATTTTCTTCCACGTACTTTTAGTGATTTAAATAAAATTTTGAGGGTAAAAATTACTATAACTGGTACATATTTTAATGCTAAAAAAGTGTCGATACAATTCATCAGGGACGTGCATATGGATTACCACAGGAACATTTTTCAAAAAAAAAACATGTGCGCCACTGACTTTTTTTCTTTGATATCAAAATTGTGTAGGCCGTTTAATGCCAATTAAAAGTTATTTCCTCATATTTTGTCGAATTCGGCCTCCTTGATGAGATAAGCGCAATTTTATTAATCTCACTTAAATCACTCTCAACAAAATTAAAATAAAAATGAAATTGATCAATTAATTATTTTACCTAGTTTATTACTAAATATTATAACTATTAGTTATTATTACTATTAGTTCAACATACAGCAATTTCAAATAATAAAATTATGGTATTTAAGATAATTACAAAAAAACTAATTTTAAAAAGTTTTAACATCCTGTAAAACTATGCATTTCCATACTCATCGTTATGGGAACTTTTTTTCATATTTTTTGA